TTCAATGAAATACATTTGAAGTGTGCAATGGACAATTGCAAAATGAAAAAAAAAATCTTTAAGAGCTTATGAAAGTAATCAAAGCCCCAAAAAACAAAGCCAGGGGAAGATTGGGAAACGGCCTGGTTAGATTTCTCCTCGTTGAGCTTGGGACTTTTTTCTCCCCCCCACATTGTGGACCATCTCTAAGTGGTCATTGCCACCAGCCGTAAACTATTATGTCCACCTGTGAACCTCCAAGACCCCGCCTGGGCTGCACAAATGCCTGTACTCTCCGTTTAGGACAGACCGGAGAACCTTGTGAAAATCCATCATCAACTTCGTCTTGATATATATTATATATATTACATTACAGGTCATTTAGCAGACACTTTTATCCAAAGCGACTTACATTACACTTTAAACCCATCGCATTTTCACATTTTTTGCCCGGGGAGCAATTAAGGGTTAGGTGTCTTGCTCAGGGACACTTCAACATGGAACATGGGGCAGCCTGGACTCGAACCACCAACCTTGTGCTTCCCAGCACACCTTCTCTAACCCCTGCACCACAACGACCCACGGCACTGGCACTACGGTTTTGTGAATACTGAATATTTGGATCTACAACTGCACCCACACAAATTTTAACAACTTTTAATTCAAACCAGAAATGTTATTTGACCTAAAATTGTCCCTGTGTTGTTTAAATGATACTGATTGAAATTATTTTTCAAGGAATTGTAATAATATATGAATATAAATTACATCATGCCCGCGAAGTGTGAAGGGCCGATGTGAAGAAGGCAGCAGTTGGCACGGCCCGGGCCCTCCAGCTTCCGCAAAGCCTTCAGGCAGAGAAAAGGCACGCGCCAAGAGCTTTCATGTCTTAAATATCCTCCCTGAATGCTTCAGCGCTGTATAATTACACCTCCTTCATCTCTCCCTTTATTCCATCTTACTACTGCGTATTGTCCGTGGTGTGTATGCGCGTGTGTCTATGTGTGTATACGTGTTTGTGTGTGCATACTAGCTTTTAGGTGTTTTTAAAAAAAGCGATTGTCATTGTGTCCTCACCACCAGAGCTCAGCGGGGCGAGCTGGTTGTCCCGTGTCAGTAACATTGAACTGTACACCACTTAGTCAGCCTCATAAAGATATTTTCCATCTCACTGTGATATAACTATACTGAGTCACACAACAGGCTAGTAAACAACTCTGTGAACCTCCATCGGCGGTGAACTTCATTTATTCTTTGTGCTTTTCACACTCTTCACCTGGCAGCCAAACAAAAGGCATTATCGTGGGTTTTTCACCACTGGCACTACGGTTTTGTGAATACTGAAAATTTGGATCTATGACTGCACCCACACAAATTTTAACAACTTTTAATTCAAACCAGAAATGTTATTTGACCTAAAATTGTCCCTGTGTTGTTTAAATGATACTGATTGAAATTATTTTTCAAGGAATTGTAATAATACTAAGGTTAGTGTAAATGTGAAAAAAGCCATGGGTAATGTAATGTAAGTCGCTTTGGATAAAAGCGTCTGCTAAATGACCTGTAATGTAATGTAATGTAATGTTAGGTTAAGATTAATTAAAGGTTGATCCCTGTATGGGTTGCTTTTACTTTGCCTCCCACCCTGTTGCCTTTCTCAGCCTACAAAACGTACACATATTCCTTGGACCAATACTTTTTTTGGACTTTTTTGGAAACAAAGACGATTGTTGTCATCTGCCAGAATAAGCAATCTGAATTACTATCAACTGTGGAAGGGCCAATGAATGCATCCGGCGCAAATGGCATAAGCCAAGCCAGTGGCTCCTCTCTGCCAAGCCGAGACACAACTCTGGAGAGCCGAGAAGTTGCGATGCAGTTGTTGATTGTTTGTGTTTTTTTCAGCTTCCAATCAGACTGTTGCATTCCGGATGGGTTCCCCATTAAGGGCTTGTGTAACTCGACATTCTGCGGCCCTTTAATAAACTGTTAAAGAGCCCCTTTGTGCTAATGGCACAACGGCAGTGGCTTTGTGTTGAGTGAGTATGAGATACAAAAAATAGACAGAGAAAGGAGGGAAGAGGTCATTGAGAGAGAGGCCGTTCAAAGCCAAAGAAGAAGAACAACAAGCAATCCGGCTAAAACAGGCAGGCCCGATTTTATTTCCTTAAAGACCTAAATCCCCCAAGCTAACCACATTTTTATGGGCGTCTGAGAACAATAATAGGCTGTTGCTCCGAGAGAGTGAATTTGCGCATCATTTTTTTCCGTGCATTCTCGCCCAGACTCCTGCATGGCGCTTAATGTGTCGTACTGCTTGCAACCTGACGTGGCGGCTACATTACCTTTTGTCTTGATTTCATTAGACTTGCAGTTGAGTTGCATATCGATTTCTCCCTTAAATTTAAAACTGCTGCTTCTCTGCCATTATTACAGAAGTTACAATAACTCTACCCGCCACAACGACACACATTTAAAAGCAATGCACTGCACCTGCATCTATATGACATCATCTGGAAAAGGACTATGCGTATGTGCACAGCGAGATATGTAAGGAGAATTTCAAAAAAGACTGAAACGATATCAGTGAGGATATTATGAAAATAGTGAGAAATCTAGCATTTGCATGCATGCATTTTTTGCATTTCTTGGTAGTATGTGTTATTCTCGCATGCATGTTCATATGGGTTGCAAGAATCTCCACATATCTAAACCATGACACAACCCATGTCTTCGTCCCCAGGCTGGGGGTGAACTTCCTAGCCCCCATCCGAGGCTGGAGGGTCCCTCCGTCTTCTCTTTTCTGTCTGTCTCTGTCAGAACAGCACACCCATTGTTAGGGGTTGGTGGCGGCGCTGCCTTCACATCAGGTCAGACGGGCCACAGGTAGCGGGAAGGGCAAGATTAATCACTTCATCTGGGACAGGCAGGGAGTAGGAGCGGGAGGCGGGGGAGGGAGGGGGCGATAGACCAGAGATGAGGGAAATAGGCGGAGCAGCGAGAGAATTAGAGGGAAGAAAGGGGTAATTGAGAGGGGAGAGGAAGAGAAAAAGTGACAGGGAGGAAGTTGGGGATGAAGAAAGGGAAAGAGGGACAGGTAGAGGCGAGGGGAAGTAATTACCTGCATAAGTGTCTTTGTTTAGCTCACCGATGCATTCAACTGAAGGCAGGCCACGGAAAGAGAGAGGTGGTCAAGGGTAATTACCTAACCGCAGGTTGGCTCACCTTTGATCCTCTCGCCATGACTATATGTCTCACGCTAGAACCCCCTATTTAGCTAAGTGATATATCATCATCTCCACTGCGAAAGGGCTCATACCCAAATGCAACCTATCCTGAGTTAGATGGCACTGGAGTACATTTCGTCCCATAGAACATATGGTGTTAACATAACATATTTTTTTACTCAAAAAGTCTAAATGACTTTTGACCTTCTTTTGATATGGTAATTGTTTTCACATTATTAGTTAAACGTGACCAGCTCCGTGCCCAGAGCAGGTGGTCACAGATGTGAGGAGAGCTGCAGATGTTGCTCTGGCTCATCAGCATCAAAGCGAGGGAGTTTGTCTCATGCGAGAGTGCAAGTATGCAAGTTTTTATTGAGAATGCCCTCACCCCAAAAATGTTGTTGTACTTGTGCATACGTGTGTGTTGACATGCACAACTAAGTGTTCGGGTTTCATACACAGTGCATGTACAGAGGCTGTTACCGCAGCGTGTCCGTGCATCTTTTAGCCCGTGCTTTTGCACTTCAAAAGCTCCTGTTGTACGTGCGTGTGTGTTAGTTTGCGAGTTCTGACCAGCTGCATTGCTCGGGCCCTACCTGTGGGTGTAGTGGGTCCAAATCCACCTCCTCGAGTCTGCTTTTTATTCACTGCCCACATTCACAAATCCCGGCTACAGGTTCACTTTCAAACAACTCAATAAAACTCTCAGATCTCCCCACAGAATCTGTAGGTTTATTTTTGCAATATACACTCAGATACAGACACACTGCTCCACTCATGCTGTGACACACATTCATTGTGGAAAAACGGTTTCCGACTTGCCCGACATTCATTCAGCAGGTCTTGTATGTCTTTGATATGCCTGACCCTCTCATTGTTTTTTCTATATCTCTCTATTGAACGTTTGGTATGTAACTCATTAGATGGATAAATATACCCCGAAGGTGCGAGACAAGCAGGGAGGACGGATACAGAGTCTTCACTTGTCCCAACACATCTCAGCAGTGGAACATTAATCTGCTGAGGCTTCGTGCCTTTAAACGGCCCGATTAGGAAAAGTCTAACAGGAGCTTTTCCTGCAGGGCTGAAGCAAAAGTGAAGTGCTTAGGCGCAGCCAACATGTTGTTTGTTTTCCCAGCGTCTCAAAGACACACACAAGGATACAGGCTTTCATTGTGCGCTGGAAAAAAAAGCCCAGGTGTTGTATTAATACAATGTTAAAATGAGGAGAAAGTGCCTGTTGCTTGATCTAGTGATAATATTGTCTTATGTTTAGGGACAGTCAACAAAGTTTTGTCCAAAACAGCAGTAGTGCTAATTATGCAATTGTCAAAAAAAAAACACTTGTTTAATTTACCCTTTAACTGTGGCTGTTTTGTTGTAAATACTTAGGCTGTGCTCAATCGTATTGGCATACGTCTTGTTTGTCATGACGGTGTTAAGCAAAAGCAGTGAGTGTTATTGTGGAGGTGGATGATGAGGCTAAAATCCTTTGTGCACACATTCAGGTGGGTGTGTTTAGTGCAAGCTTGTGCATGTGTGTGTGTGTTGAGGTCATCCAGAGTTCTCTGGCCTGTCTCTCTGGCTGTGCTACTGGTTGATGGAGTCAATGGCTGCCCTGTCTTTCCCATCATGCCGCTCTCTGTCGGTACGAATCTTAGCACGTGTGAGTCAACAATTCAGTAGGGATCTGGGATAAATTACCCTAATAGCATGTTGGAAATAACCATGTTCTCCCTCCTCCCTTCCTTTCCTTCTCCCTTGTCCTCCCTCCTTCTCCTGTTTCTCCTTTAGTGACATATTCGATGCCATGTTCCCAGTTACCCACATTGCAGGTGAAACCGTCATCCAGCAAGGTATGTGAAACCGTTTTGTTTTTGTGAAATTATGTCAATCTTAATATATTAATCTGTGGAGTAAGTCACAATTTGTCCTATAATCTTAAAAATCTGGCTTACTAGTGTCAGAGCCCTCAGAATTTTAATTTGCATTTGCGTCTTTAGTTTGGTGTTTAAAATTAAAATTGGCAACTGAGGTAGATTTTGTGCCAAAACGCCAACAGCTCACTTGTCTTGCCTCATTTGATTTAACTACCTACATGTTTGCGCCTCTCCTCCCCCTGTGGGCCGTGCGGTGGCCACCAGAATACCACGGTCAGAGCTTTGCCTGCATTGGGCGGTGCGTTGACATAAAAATAGGGCCCTTAATCTAAAAAAATATAATCTGTTGACAGTGCCACTCACATAAATTTGTCCGACCACTCTCTATTTCTTCCCTGGCTTTGCCCCACTCACACCATCAGATGCACCAGATGTCCGATCCCTCTCGTCTGCTTAACCACAGAATTTAAGGCCTTCGCTCTGGACATTTGAAGGAGCACAGAGCTTAGAAGGGCCACAGTGTAATTTGTTAGCAATAGTTATAGGCATGTTTAATAACACATTTAAAACCCTGAAAGCACACATTTTGATAATGATATGTTCACATCTGTATAAAATCACATGGTGTACTTTTGGAGTTTACCATACAAACACACACACGTTTAGACATTAAGTAAAGTAAAACGTCTGTTAAGACACACGCTTGCTTTGTCACTCCCACACAAAGACAGCATCCAGAGGTATATCAGTCCTAATTTGGTCATAATAAAGTCTAGCTCACTTTGTAGGGCCCCTGGTCCCAGCCAGTCCATTGTTATATACACTACAGTTTGATAAACAGTGTGTAGGGCGCCGATGTTGCGTTATCAACCTTTTGGCTCTCTGGTTCAAGAGAGAATTCTATGGATAATTCCAATTTAAAAAACAACAACAATTCTTAACTGTTTTAAAAGACGTGCATCACAAATTGGGTACAAATCTCCTCAGAGGCTGAGGATGCAACCCGTGTTTTCTTTTTGAGTCAAAGAATCTTAACAGTGTTAACGGCAATTAGCTTGTGTTGAAACGAGGCCACACTGAGTACACCTTCCCGTGTGTGTGTGTGTGTGAATGTGTTTGTGCGCGTGCACGTTCTGGTCCAATATTTGCCAGCACTCTAAAGCATATGGGGATGTAAAGGACGCAAAACAAAGACTCCCAACAAAAAGTGTGTCTGCATGTGCTTCAGTGTGATAAAAGACAGGAAGAGCCAAAGAAAAGGAAAGACAGAGTGAGAGGGAATTGAAAGAGGGATAGATGAGATGAAAGAGGGAGAAAAGAGAGAGATAGGAGAGGGCCCAGGTTGCAGCAGGTTGTACGTGTGTGTGTGTGTGTGTGTGTGTGTGCGTCTGAGTTGTATGATTAACGAGCACTCTCCACTCAGCATTAATTAGCCGTGTGAACTCCTGTGAACTTTACACACGCGGCGCTCTCAGCCTTTTTAACTCTTCAGGTGTACACGCAAACAAGAACACACATGCACCCGCACAACACACCCTCAGAAAATGCACACACGCACGCATACTTGTGTCATGTAAACTCATGCATCATCACCCACTTGTACCTCTGAATGGAGCTGCATTTATGTCCCGTTGTGAGCCTGCAGGGAGAGCTTCACCGTGCCCTCATATGTTACTGTCAGTCTCTTTTGATAATTTCCCCTCAGCCCCGTGTAACGGATACCATAATTAAAGGAAACGCTTCACCGTTTTTCAGCCTTATCTCCAGACTAGATGCTTTTAGCGGACATCAACCAAACAGATCCCGTGGCTCTCTTCAAGGGTAAGCTTTGAAAGCACAGCGTGCGGCAGTCAATTACCCAACAGGGAACCCCTGAGCAAAGCACACAACATTTTGCGTTGCCAGTCATGCACATTTGATAGCTACCCAGCGATTAGTCGCAGCGGTCCTGAATCCAGCCAGAGATGAAGGAAACAAAAAACAGCAAACAAGTCAAGCTGTAGATCTGTTGTCACCGTTGCACATTTTGTCCTTTCATCAAGCAAACACTCGGCAACAGCGACTAGTCTGCTACTTATTTTAGGGGGGGACTCATTTCACATTTTTGGAAAACTGTTGCCAAGCAACTATGGCAGGGAATTCCAGAAAGTTTCTACTCCCGGTCAAGATATACTGCAGCATGTAGCTGCATTGAGTAAAAAACAGAATATATGGATCTGACGTCTGTGGTTGCATGCTACAAGTCCCTCTACTTTGCATGCACCGAGGTGTTGTCACCGTGCACGCTCAGGCTGTTGAGCTACACAAGCAGCAGTAACGAGCGCTGCTGTTTGCTCTGGACAGCCCTATTTAACAGACAAATTGTCAGACCCAGTGAAATATGCATTCTCCAAAAGGCAGTATCAGATTTGACACTTTGTTTGCCCCGAAGCTTTCAGAAGGGCTTCAACCTTTGAAAGAAAAAGAAAAAGAAGAGCCAGACAAGCGATCCAACAGGGATCTTTTTTAGAACAAAGGAATAGAAGTTGACAGACAGAAGGAGCAGTGTACTTGAATAAGTGTGTTTATATAGAGGTTTCTGGATTATTTTTGTTCCACAGCTCACAGAAAGTGGTATTCTAAGGGTTTGACAAGTGATTTCTATCCCTTAATGCACCTATTTGGATTTGATTGTTTAAAAGACCTCGTTTGAAACCGTAAGCCGGAAGTGGACGTTATAAAAAAGTGTAAGCTCCTGGAACTTTTCCTGCTCTTTCACAAACTGCTGTGTTTCTCCTTGTCTCCCCCCTCCAGGCGATGAAGGAGACAACTTCTATGTGATTGACCAAGGTGAAGTGGACGTAAGTGGTTGACATAAGCACACGCACTGAAAAAAAAGAATTCTCTCAGTAACCTCCTTCTCTTTTAGGCAACTTGACTAAAGCAAACTTTTATAAGAAAAGGGGATACGAGCATGCAGTGTGCCAATCTTTTTATATACGTATATATGTATATTCATTCAGGCCATAGCAAGGATTGTGAGTCACTCATGTTGAGACAATGTTTTCCCTCTAACAATGGACAGGTTATATCGAATTGCCCACATGTTTGGTTCCCTTCAAGGTTCGGTTCCACTCTGATGGCAATCTGAACACGGCGCTGTAGAGCCCAGCGCGCCGCGCAGGGCGCCAAACTGCGAACGTCTTTTGTCTTAGCGAGCCAAGATGCAGAGCGGTAGAGATAAGTGCAGAGATAAAACGGGGAGCTGATGGAAAGTTAAACAGGAAGTGACCTTATATCTTGCAGCGGTGATCACAGACACGGCGGGTAAGAGGAGAGAAGCAGGTTGGCAAGCTCGGCCGAGCGTGCCTTCTCGGCCCACCTGAGGGACGTGGAAGTGTGTGAATGCCGAGATGGTGCCACGATAGAAAGACATCGCTGCTTTGACTTCAAGTGTTTCAGGCGACGTCTCGTCAAATGTAATTGGATAAGTTACAGGTTTTGGTTATTTTCTACAGAAAGGGTGGCTGTGTGCACACCCATTCTCTGTAAATCGTTAAGGCTCAAGATAGTCAATTCACTGGCGGGTAAAGCTGGGAAAATCTTTACACTGGATCCATTTCTGTCCATTTTTGTTGTTGTCGTCTTCTTCCGTGAATGTTTTTTTCTCTTTTATTGAGTTGGCTTATGTTTAGTGCTTGATAATCACAATAGAAAAAAGATTAATTTATTTTGTATTCACTTCAATCTTAAAATTAATTTTTGTACACTGTGATATCTTACATAGGCTCGCATTTACTTAAACTGTAATACAGACTGACAATTGTTTCATTACATAGTTTGCACAACAGCTCCCTCATTTCCTTTCCATTTCCAACACATATAAAAAGGGTGCTGTGTATCATATATGATGTGCAGATTGTCAACCTTGTAAATTAGTCTCTTTTTTGACCATGTTGACCGCAGACTGGAGGGAAAACAGAAAAGTCAATTTCAAGTCAGCGAGATGCTCTTGTTGGAAAAAACACTTAAGGACTCAAACTGGAAAGTGCGCAATGAAAAAATAATATTACCTGGGCTTTCTGCCGAACAACGCTTTTTCAACACTCTTCCATGTTTGGCGTAACCATAGCCACCATTGTCTCTCTTTGAAGCCACCCCACTCCATAGTGGAGGATGAGTCCCTCCTGGACCTCACTCAGACCTCTCCCCTTCTCTCCCTTTACTAGGCGTTAATAATGCAACAAGGTAGTGGATAGTCCGAATAAGTCCCAATGAGCTTGTGTTGTCTGTATAGCGCTATAGTGGCTGGCCGCCATCGAGCTTTGCATGTTCATGTGAACACAGAGAAAGAAAGTTTACCACGGCTCTCTGTCCTCTATCCCTCACACGTCAAAGGCAAGGTCCTAAAGAGACCGGACAGATGAAATAAAAGGGATGGAAAGAGGGATTTGAGGGATAGAGAGCCTTTTAGAGGGTCTAATTTGGGGGCTTAGTGGGGGATCATAAACTTAGGGACAAGACTATTCGGCCTATCAAACTGCCAGGAAACTGAGGAGACAGGAAGATGTGTCAGGATGGGCACAGAGGTCGGAATGACAAAAATAAGGAAATACTCCTACTGATCGACAATCCTCCGAAGCATTTAAGCTTACACCACACCCTGTTCATCACTCTTTTCCTTGTCCTTTCTGCAGGTGTATGTGAACGGCGAGTGGGTGACCAGTATCGGAGAAGGAGGCAGTTTCGGGGAGCTGGCCCTGATCTACGGGACTCCCAGAGCCGCAACCGTCAAGGCCAAGACTGATCTTAAACTGTGGGGAATCGACCGAGACAGCTACCGACGTATCCTCATGGTACAAACGAACCCTAACGCCAAGCCTAACCCTAACCTTAACGTAACCCACGCATGCTCGGACCTGGATGAATTGTGAAATGTTTGCTCAGTGTTACTCATCAAAAACCATTTGCAGGAATGTCATAAACGGCACGAGGAGCCACTGTAAAAAAAAACTCCTGACAGTCATAAAACTCTGTCTTCTGATTCTTTGTAACCGGGAGAACACATGAAGGCAGACCTCCAACACACACACACACACATGCACACACACACACACACACACACACACACACACACACACACACACACACACACACACACACACACACACACACACACACACACACACACACACGTACTTGCACACAATACAGAAACACTAAAGGCAATAATAAAGTAGAGTAGTAGACTCTCTAGACTCATTTGGGATTTCTCCCTTGTTATATTTGCTCCCACTCAACCACTTAAGTCTCTTCAAATACTTAAAACATTTTTTTTTTATTCCCAAAATTCCCACTCCCACATGCATTCCTGTGCTTTTTATGTCCCTCGGGATCTGTTGGTAGGTGAAGAATGGAGAAAAAAGGGAGGTCTGCGGAGGAGGGAGAGGGTCATCCCTAATACCTCAACACACACTTCCAGCTCCAGGAGCTTATCTATCAGGAATGTCTAAATGTTTAAACTGGAAACACAAGGTGCACTGTCCATGGCTCTTATACTGATTCGCACATATATTTTGGGTGCCGTTAGAAAGACTACTTTCTGTCTTTGTGCCCGACTGAGCTTCTCCTCAGACGTTCCTCCCACTTTGCACCGAATGAATGAGATAAGCGCTCCAATTAACCTCGCAAACACCCGTGTGCCTTCTAGGCCGTCATCGGAAGTGAACATTCGGCCGGGATGTTAAACAGTTTGAACCGGCAGAGTGCAGAAGCTCCGTGTTTGGACCTTTCAGCTCAATGTAAAGTTGGCACAGGCTCGGCCCGCACTCATGTCACCTCTTAAGCACATAGTTTAACCGAGGGCACAGTCTGCCCCGGTACCCTTTCTTGGAGAGAATTCTCTTTCTCTTTCTTTCTCTCATTCCTCCCTCCCTTAAACCACCAGCGGGACGGGGGGGGGGGGGGGGGTGTAGAATTAGAATTAAATTACGTGAACCTGCAGTTAATTATTGCTGTCAATGATTTGTAAAGCTGTTTTAATATAGTGCGGTATTCTGGCAACGTCTCAGGCCAACACAACGAGCATTTGTTGTGAGTCCAAGTACGTGTATGTGTGTCTGTTTTTGTCACATTGCGCAGTGCGCTTATGTCTGCAGCCAGTTAGTCAGGAGCTCAGGAAGGTGTGCCGCACTTTCACTGTGTGCACATCTGTTTGACTGTTGGATCACCACATTGTGTAATTAATAAGTTGACTGAACAGTTTTACATTTGTGCCTTTACTTACGTAAGTAGATAAGTCAGTCAGTTAAATCAAGTGGATTAGTTGACATGTTACGGTGAAATTGTGTTATCCAAGTAAATTGATGCCTCAAATTTGATGACGTTTTGCTGGAGACATCAAGCTTTGTTTCGACGTTCTTCGTCAGGAGGGTTGAGCTACATTTCAAAGAGAAGGTCAAAAGCCATTATGCCAATTATCCTGACCTCGGTGCTTTGTAATGTAAAACTCCAAGTTTAATCATTAGTTAATCTTTTCTGCTTTATCAGGCATAGGATCTCTGCTTCCTGCATTATGCACTTTTAAGAACCTCATCTCGAAACCTGATTTCATTTGATATCGACTAATCATTAATCACTTGATCAAGATCAGTCGACAAAGAAAACTATACTTCATTCCAGCCAGTCTATATTTTTCCATTAGTTAGGAGAGTGCATCTAGAAAACAGTGTAATGCCATTCCCTTTGATTGACACACTCTCTCCATTGCATGTTACCCGGGTTGTTGTGTCGTCTTAGTTTTTAAACACGCAGAGATACAGAACAGGTAATTAACAGACTGACAGACCGCTGTCAACAAACAGAACAAAAGGAGACCAGGAGAAATTATATCAATAAATGGGGATGGTTCGGGGGGGTTGTATGTGTTTGGCATTGGGCAGAGATGAAAGTGATGGGGCGTCGGGTACGGTTGGTTTAGTCTGGCTTCGGCTCCACACCTCAACTCTTTGATGACTCTAGACCCAAAGACAGCGAGCAGACACCGAGGCTGGTTTCATCCGTGACCTCGCGAGGAGCCCACACATTACGGCCAACAGGGCAAGGGGAGTGCTGCACATGTCGCATGAATCAGATCTGCCGTGCAATGCAATGTTGTGTACGCATGCTAAGCCTTTAAGCTCAGCGAGGCCGTCTGAGGAACTCTGTGGGGAAGCAATGAAATAAGGAGACATTTTTGAGGGAGGTGGGTGTGTTTGCGGGTGCGTGAGGCCGCAGGTTAGAGTTTACATGTGTGACTGTTTGTATTTGCTCGCTGAATTAGCATGACGTTTTGTCTCTGCAGAGACAGTAACGAAACATAAGTAGCAGAACTTATAACAGACTGCACGCTGACACCGCATGCAAACACACACACACACACACACACACACACACACACAGACACACACACACACACACACACACACACACTCAAATCATTTATCCAGGAGGGAGGCGATGCAGGCTAGAATTCCTTTAATCAAGTTGTTTACGATGTGAGCTTGACGTTGGCTCACTTGGGAACATTTTCTCCCCTTTTAAGACAAAATGGGAAATTATATGAAATTAGAGGCAGCAGCGGCACTCGGGCACTTAAGCACTAAAGACACCCCAAGTCTCAATATATCACTTCCATATGCAGAGACAGACAAGGTCGTCTCTCCTCACTCTGCCCTGTTTCTCTTCATGTTCCCTCTCTCTCCGACTGGGCCTGTGCAATGAAAGAGTAAAAAGAAAGGAGGACTGGAGCGAGGGAAGGGGTCCTCTGGGTCCAGACTTGTCAGGAAGCACCTGATGTTCATGGCAGAGGCACAGAGGGGAAAGTCCCCCATGCCTGTTGGGTGGGATAGACCACACACACCCAGTGTACATTAGCACGCAAGTGATACACACCTCCGTGTGACCCCCTGAACTCTGTTCACACTTTTAGTGAAAGAGCACCACACACTACTGGATTTTATTCTAAATGTTTTATGTAATATGGCAAGACTGATATTTTTAGGGTTTTGACTAAGCCTTAATGACCAGTAGTGGTGTGAGGAAATGTTGATACAAATGTTGGACCTCTATTCTTTAATGTATCACAATATATTGAATTGTAAATCCTGTATAATATTACGTATCATATGGCCCGATTTTTGTCACGTGCTTCGATTGCACCGGACCAGTGAATGAACACCCACATCAACAAAATAAAAATGTATAAGAATGAGTTCAAGTCAAATAAAAACCTACACATATCATGTAAAAATACAAAATATTTCAGTTGAAAACCAAAAAAATAATTGTCATTTAATTCTGCTCAATTCGAGTGGTCTGAAAATAAACATGAAGACCTTTTCAGACTCTTTCTTAATAGCATTAAAACATTATAATTTTTTAATTACGGTAAAATACATGCAAATCAGAGAGAGTCTCTAAGGGTGAATGTCTCTCCTCTTTTTGTCTTTCAGGGAAGCACACTGAGGAAGAGAAAGATGTATGAAGAATTCCTCAGCAAGGTGTCCATCCTCGGTAAGTCATATGAATATGTACAAAATGCGGACCCCGTCATGAAAAAGTTTCTGCTTTTATAAAAGAAAGTGTAGTGTATTTGTGTAGGCCGCGTTTTGTGTTCATCTTAAACACCGGGTCACAGAGTCGGGCAGTTAAAGCTGCACAGGCCGACATATACTGTAGATTAGCCCACATATACACAGGAGCACGTTGTCACACGGGCCCCACAGCCGTGTGGAGTCCGTGTGTACAGTCCTAATCTTCTCACGCCGCTCACACTAAAGCCCGTCACACTCTGCAGCGCCGCTGCGTTGACAATTAAAGAACGCGGAGTCGAGATAAGCCTCTCGTTCTCCCCACTGGAGATTTGGACAACACAAGCCCACACGGGCTGCTGTCGCAGGAACGGGGCAATGAGATTCATTCAGACTTTAAAAGAGAGGTCGCGATTGGAACTGACGTCTCCTCCCTTCCCACTTGATGGTGTGTGTGTGTGTGGAGCGAGGCCATGCCCCCTGTGCAGAGTTATTAACTGCCTGAGTAAACACATACACTCAATTCAGGTCTGACGACAACGTCTCCCCGCGAGATCCTGCTCTCTTTTCATTCACCTCCTTTCTTCTGCGTCTCCCTTTTTTAGGCCGCCTTGTCGAGGCCTGCATTCAAACGCCCGCCTCCCTCTGCCCGAGTGCTTTTTTCCTCTCTCCATTCCTCTTTCTGTCGCCTCGCTTCTCCGTTCAACCGCTTTGAATTGGAGGAGGGGCAGGAGGCGGCCGTGTTTTTGTTTGTCTTAGATTTTCGAGATAGCCACGAAATTGGTACAAGCCCTTGATGTCGAGGAGTGAAGGAGGGAGGAAAGGGGGTGGTGGGGGGGAAACACCAACATTTTCTTTGTCTTTCATCCCAATGGTCGATTCCCCGAGTGCACACTCTGCATGTGGTGCAGCGAGGTGATCCAAGTGGGTGCAGGCTCCGCCAAGCGTGAAATGTAGGTTCTTTGGTCGGCACATTTGTGTATCACGTTACGCGCCGAGCTGTTAAGGATCACTTCTATAGGACCTGCTGCCTTTAGCTAGCAGCCAGACAGAGGACATCCATCTGGGGGCCGGCAGACACCGGGGGCCCCCACCGGAGGGGACACTGGACACCTCCGTCCGATCGGACTTCACCAAAGTTAATCCTAAGAACATTCACACACACAAACAGATACACACCGGGATCAGTTACTGAGCGCATCGGGAGACAATAGTCGCAGACAAAGAGATTTGGCTGTAGTTTTACGCTTCTAACTCGCGTCTTAGTCAAATCAAAACACTCAGTCATCCTTTTATCTCGACAAAAGTAAAGATCACGAGTGTTTTCACTGCAAAGAAGTCACATTCCGCATGACAGATGTATAGACTTTTAAGATTAGGCAACAAGAATCTTCTGAATTGTGCAATGAGGATGACTTCATTTGGTGAATACAGGATCCTCTTTTTATGAATATCAATACTTCAGAGTGGCTCAAACTCCTCTGGTTGGAACATTTTTTCAGATTGTTTGGGGTTTTATGTGAACAGCTTCTAGAAATATCTGGAGTCCAACCACTTCACTGTTTGTGTGGTCGAACAATCATTAAGACAAATGCCGCCTTCGGCTCTTTGGATCAAAAAGGTTAAGAAAGATACAGGTTTTATATTGCAGGATTTGTAAATCTAATACAAAACAGTACATTTACTAGAATTTATTGAATCTAAATGTTTTAATTATTCTTTTAAATAATGTCATCTTAACGTTATTATTAAAAGTGGTACCATTATATTTCTAGTCCCATCCTTGAAGTACAACTAAATCCCATGTTACAATAACAGAAGGGAAATATTCAGTTTGAATAAAGCCAACTCAGAACACTTGAACAAAACACGGATGTATTCCACTAACTGAACAAACGTTGCTCTCACGCTGATCGATAAAGATGTGAGATCTTTTTTATTATTTTATGCTCAAGCACAGGACAGCTCTCTGTCAGCACCGCCCATAATCATGAGAGCACAGGTCTTACAGATCAAGGAGTTAGTGTGGAGGTGTTTTTTCTCCAGGCGGCTCCATGAGAGGAGTGAGCGGGGGGGGGAGGGAGGGGGGGGGTCAGCGACATAATGGACCCTGATGAATGACTGGATTAGCCGGAGTTAGGTGTTATCGTTCCCCAACAGCTTACTGGACATGAGCAGGAGACATCCTCTAAGACCATGGAAGACACGCAAACACATCGAGCATTTGTGCATCTGATCTTCCTCTCAGTCGATTTGTTCCGTTATTCACAGAGTCTTTGGATAAGTGGGAACGTCTGACTGTGGCCGACGCTCTGGAGCCAGTTCAGTTTGAGGACGGAGAGAAGATAGTGGTGCAAGGAGAACCCGGGGACGACTTCTTCATTATAACGGAGGTGAGATACGTCGGCGTCTCTGTGTGTTGTGTGAGAATCTTTTTGCTGTGATGCATTCTTTTGTCCTGCAGACAGCCTGCCAGGTGGCGTTACCCTGCAGGCTTTGTGGAGCTTCGGGCCTCTGTCATCCCAACACACTTTTGATTAACCTCCACACGTACAAAGCTTTCGCCGCGAACAAGGAGGCACACTCTAGAAGACATCATCCAACCAGTGTTGGTCAAGCTCGAAGCCTGCGAATGAAGGCTCCTCCGGCCTCAGAAACCCTTTAACCTTAGCAGCAGTTTCACTGCAGAAAATGAAGCCATTTGGGGTTTGGGACACACACTTGGAGCAGAATGACATGCTATGCAGAGGAATCTGGGGGATTACAGGATGAAGGAGCAGGAAGAGGGAAAGGATGAGAGACGGACGTGGAGCTTAGTGGGGCCGCCATCTCAGTCCGGTAGCAAACGTGTCACACCACACTCTGAGCCCCACCCAACAGCAGTCCCGTGTCCTCTTTCTCGTCTCTCTGTCTTCCTATCCCCCCCCGAGCTGCCACTCTCTCTTTGCTTCCTCTCCGTCTCCCTCCATCCCTCGTGCGGCACGGCCCTGACTTTCCCAGAGCAGGGTGGACTGTGTGTGGAATGTGTGTTGCTGACTTTCACACGGGGTCAGGAGACCCAGCCTCCCGGGAGCGAGAAGTGGGGGAGAGAGAGAGAGAGAGAGAGAGAGAGAGGGAGAGAGAAAGAGGAAGGAAGGAAGAGTCAAACGGGGTAGCGAGAGAGAGGACCACATACAAGGCCGGGGGAGAAGGGTTGTGACCGCTTTCCTCACTCGCCATCCCCTTTCTGCATTTATCTCTATTGATCAAAGCGAGTTGAGACGTGTCTTTCTCACTCTTTTGTTGTTATTGCAGTTTTGTAGCATCATCCCGAAACAAAGCCCACAATCACTAATGACATGCTGCCGATGGGGAGGTCCCTCGCCAGCCAGGAGGAATGGCTCATCCATAATGACAAGTGAAATGTTTACATTTTTGTGCTCACCCTGTACAAACAAGCCTCTACAGAACTCCAGGGCCATGAAGCCTCATCCTCATCTTCTCTTTATTTGCTCCCTTTTCTTCCATCGGGGCATCTGCCCCTGCTCACCCGGCATGCAGTCTTTCTTCCTCCCGCTCCTACGATCAATGCCGGCAGGGAGAAGGGAACTTTCAGAGATGACATTTAAAGTGTTCAAACGTGGTGTTAAAAATAACGTCTCTCTTCCGGGTCCAGTTCAGCACGGCATGTTTAACCATTCATCTCACCTGGCAATGCTCCCATGAGCCACCTCTCTCTCCTGCAGCTGAATGCCGATCCTGCTCAACCTCAACCTTCAGGTCACAAGGCGTTGGTGTCAGTGTCTGCTCTCATCTCCTCCCATCATCCAACCTGGAACTCAATGCGCACACCTCATATTTGACCCTGTATGTTTGACATATTTTGGCAAATATGAAAAAATGTTTCCTCCTGCACGAAAGTAATCACACCGAGGGGATCCAAAGAGAGAATTCCTCTGTGTGTGAAGGCCACTTTAACTAATGTGGCTCAACAGCGCACAGTCACTTCTCTTTGAATCTCTGAGGAGAAGCTGTGCAGCTCTGAGGTCTTTTTCATGTGTGTTGAGGTTTGGGTGAGAAGGTGCAGACACACTGCTGGTGCCGGGTGGCCTCGTGAACAGGCTACTTAGGATATCACCTTTCTTCCTCCATCTCTTCTTCCTCCTCCCTCTGTGTGTCTGTTGTTGATCAAACGCTTCTCACTTCCTCCATGCAGGATGCTGCTTTTTGTTGGCAAGCCGCCTCGCTGCCTGCTGCATATGATATGTATCTTTGTGTGTGGATACGAGTGGGTGTAAACGTGCCCTCAGGTTAATAACAGCAATATCAGGTAGCAGTGATCATTTATTACTTCTGACCTGGCGTTGGCTCACACTTTCACTTCCTTTCTCCGTTCTCTGTTTCTCTGTGATGTCATTCATTCATACTCTCTGTTCCTCCGTCTCTCCTCGTCTGCTATCTCGTGTTGTTTCCACTCCTTCGCACCCAATTTGGGCGCCGCGGTTTGGAGGATCTTCAATGTTTATAAAAGAAATATCTGTGTAGCAGAGGAGCCCCTAGGGCTTTACAGTACACGATGCTTATCTGGACCACACCAGGAGAGTCCTGTGCAAGAACTATTGTACTTGACGGCGCTGCACTGTCTCACTTTCTTTGTTTGGACATGAATGGAAAGGAGAGGAATCGACCAGTTGTAAACACAAGAGCCTCAATGCCTCCACCCCACCTTCATACTGTCCCCATTCACATTGCGTGCTTTGTTTTAATTCCACTTCTCGCTCAAACTGCTTGTTTGGTGGCAGTTCTGAACTTTGATGAAACTGGTTGCTGCTGAGTTTACACAAGGAATGGGAGATGGTGCAAAGTATGATTTATTATTCAGAATGGGCGGGATAGAGATTGATTCTAATTCAGCCCAAATCCTCCCATCCGATGGGGTAGTGGCGGCCTTAATAAGGGAGGGAGGGAAGGTGTACTGCATTTTCGGCAGTCTGGCGAGCTCTTATCATCCTGTGTTCACTTTCTGCCTCACTGTTCACGATGCAACATCAGCCATATGATGCTCCATTGTCACCACCCTCCTTCCAACCCCATAATCAACTCCGATGCGCTGCAGCACGCGCGTGGTGCCCATGGCAGTACGAGACAGCTCATCAAAGCCATGTCCCGCACACACTACGCCCCAATTACTTGGAACAATTCATTTAAGGCACAAATCCCCTTTTCAACGAAATACACCTTTGTGCTGCAGCGGTAAAGAGCTGGCAGTTTCTCATTAAAGCTCATTATATTCACGTTTAACATTATTAGCCTGGTCAGAAGGGGCAGAGGGAGCAGAGAGGGATTAGAGCAGTTGTACGACTCCGCCCAAGACAAGCTGGGAAGTTTGATTTTGATTTCTTACCTGCTACCTACTTGCAGCTGAATTTAAGCTCATGCAAAATGTCGAGACGACAAAACACATATTCTACCTTCGTGAGCCAACACGTTAATAGACGTTAATGTGTTGCCCAGTGTTGATGTGGCCATAAGCAAAGATGAATATTCAAACATGAGCTCATTCACACACACACACACACACACACACACTTTGTCAGCAGCTGCAGGATGTGATAGAATGAACTATTATCATCTGCTGGGCATAGACAACGGAAATCAAACTTCCTGTGTTGTACTCTCTAGATGACTCACTCACACAACAGCAACCGGCGAGCTGGTGATATGCGTGACGAGGTCCGCGGTCAGTTTGTCCAGCAGAGCTCAGCTGCTGATTTTCTCACCGTGTGTTTCGTACGTGCGTTTTGCGTGCGAGTTTGTGTCTCACTGCGTAATACCTCCGCGTGTCTGCGTTGCTTGTTGTCGTTGCCTGGCGTTGTGTTTTTGCAAATGCAGAATAACATATGCTGGTTAGCAACGGGCATTTGGAGCATGAGATTATTAGTGCTTTGGGGGTAAGTAAGGGCCAGCGTGATCACTCTTGGACAGGACAGTTGTTTCCATTTTGTGGGCGAATGCTGATAACGTGGATTACGTTATGGAGACACTGAGGAATAACTGCAGCCTCTTAACGGTTTAGACGCTATTCTGTACTACACTCTGGAGGAAATAAAGCAGAACCAATCAGCCCGTTGGAATATCTGACGTCTTGTGTTTCTGCTCATACGCGTCCAACAGAACAGGTGTCCGTCCCACAGGAAAGCGAGCTAAATCCTGTGCACCTGTGTTCTTATGAAGCAGAGGAATTTCTCCTCGGCTTAATCCCCCTGACAATTTTCAGTCCCTGGTTAAATCACCCCCCCTTCTTTTTTCTTTTTCTTTTTCTCACCCCCCCCCATCCCCCACTTTCCTCCATCTTACTTCACCAGCATGCCGTCCTCCTTATTTTTACTTGTTCTGCATCTTGTCTCTTTCCTTTTCCTCTAACTCTGCTTTTCTTGTTCTGTTTCCAGGGAATAGCCTCTGTCCTGCAGCGCAGGTCTGACAACGAGGAGTACGTGGAGGTGGGACGCCTGGGACCTTCTGACTACTTTGGTGAGTGGCTCTGGGCCGAGGAAGCCTTTCCATCCGAGCTGGGCAGCACACACAGAAAGCTAGGCCTCAAAACAATAACTTGTTTATGGGAAATATTTTGCCTTCCGATTTTTTGTAATTCAAATGCATTGAATTTTAGGAAATTGTTTGTCACTTTGAATCAACTGGATAATAGAGAAAGGAAATCTGCTGCAATATTATGTTTGTTTGCAAATAACTGTCATCGTCATTGCCTATTCATCAAGAGTTAATCAATTGGTAAAAATCACAATGGTAATTGGGAAAAATGCCCATTATTAATCCCAAAATGTTCATCTTTAATGTGTTGTTTTTTCTTACTAGCAGTGCTAAAAAAAACATGAAAACCTGTAAATATCCATATTTAAGAAGCTAGAAACAGCCATTCTTTCACAGATTATGTGTATGATTGGAAAATGATTATGAAAATGCTTGCCGGTTCATTTTCCGGGTATTGACTAATCGATTTGCATTTTATTTCAGCTCTAAGAAATAAAATCGGAATAAAAATGGAAATGCTTAGAATTAACTGTCTTCGCATGAATAATTTAACTCTTTACTCAAGCGTGTATGATTTCTCAACATCTTCTTCTGTTTGTTGTCTGTCCACCAAAAACAGATTTACAGCAAGAGGTCGTTTTAAAGTATCAATTGCATTAGAATTTAAAATAGAGAATACTAAGGCTTAAATCGAATTTGCTTCACATGCTTCTGTCGGGATCTCCGATCTTTTAGCACCAGACAAATGTTTACAACATGTTTTACCGCCTGCATGCATCTCACACTTCCTACGACAACATTCGTCTTCACATCCGGACGCGATCACAGACCACTACATTTTTCTGCAGATAATCAACTGATTGCCGCCTCTCCTTTCTCCTCCAGGTGAGATCGCCCTCCTGTTGAACCGCCCCAGGGCGGCAACCGTCGTCGCCCGCGGTCCGCTCAAGTGCGTGAAGCTGGACCGGCCCCGCTTCGAGCGAGTGCTGGGGCCCTGCTCGGAGATCCTCAAGAGGAACATCCAGAGATACAACAGCTTCATCTCCCTCACCGTGTGACACGTCGGCCCCTGTGGGCCCCACCAGCGGGGGGGCTGGGTCGGCAGCATCAGCAGAGTTTGGGTGGGTGGGTGATAACGGGTGAGGATGTGGGGGGAAGGACATGGGTTTTACATCCACAGACTACAGGGTGCTCGTTTACTGCCTTTTTTTCCCCCCATTTTGCGCTATTTCTTTTTTTCTTCGATCTTTTGCACTTGACCTGTGCTGTCGCGTAGCTTTATGTCAAAACCAACATGCAGGAGTGTAAAAGTCAGAGTGAGGACGGTGATAATTCAACTAATGAGATACTGTAAATGACTCATAAGTGGCAACTGTATGTGATGCATGCTTCTAGACTGGCATTTGCACATTCATGAATTCACGAAAGGTACGATGAATTCAGGAAATGAGAAAGATGTAAAGTCATGTTTATGTGCAGTGGGAGGACTTGAGTACACATTTATTTTTTGCGCTAGTTGTATTTTGCCTTTTTTTCACCTCTGGTTGTGCGTGGTGCACTTTCTAGATCAAATCAGACCCGCACTACAGGGACCCCCCATACCGCCGAAATATAGATGTGCAGTTTTGAAGAATATTAAATACTTAGCCGGTCATTTTGTAGTGCGAATTAAGTGTGCTTTTAATAATCTTATCAGTTGGAAGTTTGTTAACGACAATGGGTTGTTGAGTCAAGATTTTAATATAAGATTTATATCTGCCAAATTAACTAACAAGAGTTTTGTTGAGAAAGGGTATCCGTCCCGTCTCTCCCTGAAGGGCTCCAGTCTGATCTGGGAGTTGCGGCAGTGTTATCGGTGCAGTTTGCAAACACACAAACAGAGTCTGAAACACACTGACAGGAAACACTCAACAATACCGTACATGCTTACTGCATACCTGCACTGTCTCAGGACAATTTCATTCTTTAACTCAAACACAGACGTCTTTTCTGACGCTTTGGATTTTATTCTGATATATTGCTAGATATAGAGAAGCTTTTGCACCACTTGAGAGTTTGTAACGTTGGGTCGATATGGATTTTTGATTTAGCTCTTTTTAACACATGACTTGAATGTTACGTATGTAAAGTAGAATAATATACTTGTGATGCTTTTGTTTGATCTACTGTATTTTGTCAAAACTTGCACAACTGACCCAGCAACTGATGTATAAAATGGGACCTGACAAGAATCTTTATATATTCTCTCTCGCTTTATGTCTTTCTTTCAACTATCAAACCATCTTGAGCAAATAAAGATACGCTTCTGAAATCCTCTGGATTTAAATCATTATTTTCACATCAGCCCCTCTGTCTCTGGGTGAATTTGACTCTTTTCTATCCCAACTTCTGGCATCTTCTCCTCTTCTCCTGACTGGACTTAGTTCTTTCTCTTTCCCACCAATCCCCTAAATATTTCATCTCTGGTAATCTCCCTTGTACTTCTACAAAGCACAAACTGTCTTCTTCAATCTCACTTTTCACATTTTCGTCCTACAGGTACCTCCTCTCCACCCGGTCCTCCCTTCTCTCCATTTGGCTCCATCCGCTCCTCTTTGCCCTCCATCCTTCTCACATTAAGCCAAGTGTCACTCATCCGTCAGCCTGAGCTGATAGAGTTCCTCCCAGCCAGTTAGCACCACGATGGACTAAAGCCTCTACAGCTTTGACACATTCCTCTTCATCTTAATGCCCACTAAATCAACTAAGGAATGTGCCCCCAACTCGCCAACATTCAGTTTAGTCCCCCCCTCTTCCCCTCACATGCACACACACACTTCATCGCTTTGACAATAAACACACAAACACACCAGCTCAGGGAAACAACTATTGCTCCTCCATCTTCACGGCAGTAGACTGTGATTTCCAGCACAAAAACCTGCGTCCAGAAATGGTAGTTAACCATTATTGACTTAGCAAAACATCCACAAGTATTTCAATCTTCTCCCTCTCTCTCATCTCACTTATTTCCAACTACCATAACATTTGAGTACTGCTGGCGAGAAATTTGAGGTTGTTCTAGGTGCTAAAGGGAGGTAATATTCCATAGAAATGGTATATATATATATATATATTATTTATGGCTGAGGTCCGGGAAATGCTTGTAGGTGGACCTTGAGCTGTGATTATTCAATCAAACTACTATTTTCAAGGTCAAAAGTGAACATTAAAACTTGAGTCTAAGAAAGATGTCCAAAACGGCTTTGGAGGCCATCCTGAGCTGCCATGTCAACGGGGCAGTCTCCATGGCAACCATGCTTCATCAGTGGATTGAGATTGACGGTTGGTTTGACAAAGGCTAGTGAGCGGAGCATGAGCTGGGATTTTGTTAACCCACTACCATGATTGTCTCTCCAAAAGAAAGCCTACTTAATGTTACTGGTATGATCTGAATGAAAAGTGGACCTGAGCTGAGCTGTGTGTGTGTGTGTGTGTGTGTGTGTGTGTGTGTGTGTGTGTGTGTGTGTGTCATGAGCACATGATTAGACAGTGCCATTACTGTGCCATGCTGGGTGGGCCAGAGCACTAATATGAATCCTTGATCCCACGGCACTTTGTCAGTGTTGGAAGAAGATAACACAGGTAAGAACACACACAGGCTCTTTTTCACCAACTTTTAGGTCACTCAGTTCTGTGCCTGAGTCCTTTATGCGTTCACACTACTATAATCCGTCATATGTCTCATGCAGGTCCCACTGCGCCTGAAACAGTGAGGCCAAATACATTTCGCACAAGATAATCGCACTTTCACAAAGAAAGAGAAATGATCACTGGGCTAAGAGAGGCCCATCAACACTAAAGTAAAGTAAAAAAACAGCCTTTTAAAGTTTCTCAGTTATATTCACTTTCATTGTAGCACTGCAAAAATGTTCGTCGTGGCTGAAAGATGGCACATATATTTTTGATACATGCCAAAGTTGGTTTGCTTTTCTATATAAAAAAGTACACTTTTATTAGCTGCAATTAGGAATTTTTTGGGGATCTTGAAGGAGCTTGAAAATGAGATTAAAAATCTTAATAGGATTATCCTGGCTGAATATAGGTTCATTATATTAATAATGTCTTTTAAGGCTTCGTCGCTGAAGATCACAAATTCCCCAATCACAGAAGTAAAAGGGTTTGAGGCTTAATTATAGTGTTTGTTAGTCTTGATAGTATAAGGCCACTAAAGACTTGAATACCTCAAGGTTTTCATTGTGTGCTTCCTTTCCAAACCAACAAGAAGGCCAGACTCAGTGAGTAGAAGGAGGAGACACAAAGGATGCAGAGGCAATGATCATGCAAGAAATGCCGTGCCAACTATATTGACCGGTAACATGCTCTTCTTTGGCTTTTAAATGCACCCTTGAGTGGTGTGAAGTCTGCTGGGAACCACCGAAATATTTTAAAGAATTTATTTCCAGCATGGGAACGTTTGCCTCCTCGTTTATAGGAGGATGAATCCCTCCAAATTCCAAGTTTTATATAAAGGTTGCCAACAATTTACAGGATAAGATGGCTGGGAGTGATTTGGTATGTTTGTGTGTCTGTCGGTGTGTGTGTATGTGTGTATTTGTTGCATCCCATAAGTAGACACAGTCACCCATGATCTCATGAGAGGATGTTTTATTTGGTGCAGCATATTTAGATCTGGCACAGTGAGCGTAGCCCCCGGGCGAGGCCCCCCTCACCCCTCTCTTTCTCCCTGGTTCTCTCTCTTTTGTCCTCTCCTCCTGCTCTGTGTTCCCATAGCTGCCATTCCTGCTGCCTTCTATCCCTTGTTTGGGGAGATCCTGGCTAATTGAAATGCCTGCCAACACAACACTGCACCCTCCACTGATTTCCCTGCCTTCTGCCTCCTCCACGTTCCCTACAAACCAGCCCCCAACCGCCTGCTAATGACCAAAGCCTTTGATACGCAGCTCTTTTCTTGTCTTTAATTGATTTATTGGGTGTAGCAACCTGACTGATCCAGAGTTCAGCCTGTTCGGGTTGACGCTTTCCACCCAGGGGCATCTCATCTCCGCCCGGTCCGCAAGTCTGCTGCTCTGATTTTCAGCTATAATCGTGACCTTCTCGGGTCAAAGGTCACCATCCAGGCCCGGGCACAGGTGATTGAGCAATAGTGAGGCTGATGGGATTGAAAGGTTAGGGACGAGAGGGGGTGTTGAGCCGAGGTCATGGGGAGAAAGAGAGTCAAAAACTGGGTCAGGAGATCATCACAAGGTCCGGCTCAGTTAAACAGCAACTTGGTCAATTGTGGTTTTAATAGAGAAAAAAAAAATTACTCCAATTACATTGTTGGACTTGCGAACAGTTAGAAAAATATATCAAATTTGTGACTCAAAACCTCAAACTCAAAAATATTTTGTTATCTGGTTGCATACATTCCTCAGCAACGTTGGTTTGGTGAGATAAGCGGTCTACAGATACTGATACGGCTACTGGTCAGACTCATTTGATTTTGTGCTGCTCTGTGTGGAGTCCCTTTGTGATTTGTCTTGGGCAAGACACTTAACCCCTGACCGTAAGCTCTGCCTGCCATGTATGGACGGGTAAAAATGTTTTAGTGGTCGGTGGCACCTTGTATGATAGTGTAAAAAAATAAGGATAATCCTTTGAATTAGCGTTCAAGAGTGCGTTTGGATTTAGCACCTTTAACAAGGCAATCATCTTTATAGTACAAGCAACAGTCACGAGTCAATTCTTAAGTAGCTGAAATTATTGTCCCACTTCCTGCTGCTGTCTTTAAGGGCAGTTTGAACAGCAAGAACGAGGGGATTAGATACCATCTATTTGTTTTTCATCTTTTCTTTCCCAAGCTTGTTATCGTTCCTCATTTCCTGCTGGACGACAAGTAAATAATTCACATGTATACATGTACCAACACTGAGCCCAGGCCTCCCTGAGTTGCTAGATGTTGGCTTCGGTTTCAAAGCTCTTCCCGGCTAACTTAGCCTCGGTGACCCGCCTCCAAACTATGCGTAGAAAAAACAATACACTGAAATGTTCTCCCAATATTCTGCATGCTCGAGGGGAAAAGAATGGGTGAGTAACATTTTTCTGAGTTAGATGTTTCATATTGCACATGACTCGGCAGTCTCCTGCCCACATTGATTCCAACCCGGCACAATCCATCTCTTCACTTCAACTCTGACTTCAATCCATGGGGAGGCGGCTCAGCGATTGTCTCAATTGTTCCTTTTTTCAGTCCCTCCTACTCTCGGAGGAATCGTTAGGGGGTTTGAATGCAGATCAGAAAAGTAGTTAACGCTGTTCGAATCACATTAGGAAGATCAAGAAATGCAAATAGCAAATATTCCCTGTTGAGGAAATTACTTTAATGGCTACACATGCTCCGCTTTGTGTGTTAAAACACTTGAAACATCTGAATTCCCCGGATTTACCAAGTTGTTGGAGTGTATAATATGCGACTGCTTTGCTAAGTCTAACCTTACGTTACAGAAGATTCACCTTATTATTCCCCCAAAACACAGCCAGCCTCTGCAGGTGTGCAAAGTCACAAGCGTAAGGCTGCCAAGTGTCCTCTGATTTTCCAGCCCAGACCTCTACACCCACAACCCTCCTGGCCCCTCCTGAAGGACCCCCAAATACCTTCACTATCCCAGCTGCACCCTGAGCGATGCCCCTGGGCTGAGGCAGTGAGTGGGGAGCACAGCCACAGGGGTGACCCGGCTCTCCCTAAACCTTACTGGAATGTGTGGATTTGAGTGAGTGCTGTAACCAGAGAGCACTCTCTCCGATCTTTAAGCCCATAATGGAGCCACTTCCTGTTGATAATCAGTTTGTTGTGATCTTTTGCTGCCGTGGGATTTTGACACTTCATCTGGAGTCGTGGTAGGAGAAGGAAGAGGAGGAGGAGGAGGAGGAGGAGGAAGAGAGGTGTCATTATGGTTGTGGTCTGTGTACCATAATGACAGTATGGGCTGGCATGAAAGGCTTGGGGACCAAAAAAAGTAATTTCTCCAATTTGGGTCAGGATCCAACAACCAACCTCTCTTCAACCACATATGCACGCACACATGCATGAATGCAAACATTGCTCATGGAGCTTCCTGGAGGGCCACCGGATTTGGACGTTAACCATTGGAAGGTGACATTTCCCTTGCCGACTCCATTCTCACTTTTCCCCTCTCTCTTTTTCACTGTCTCTCATTTGCTAACAAACGTGCCTCAACGCATGATCTGGGTACCGCTTTTAATTGCTTCCAATAATAAAAGCAACAATAATTACCGAGCCAAAATCCTTCTGTATTTATTTTTAACAGCGTC